TCTCAATAGACCTTCCTTTGACCTGAAAGACTGGTCACACCACTAGTGTACACTCCTACACAACCCCTAAATGTCTGTCAAGAAGATGCTGATCATAGCAATTTCTACTTGCAAGCAATATCTCTCCCCTGGATTAGGCTGAGATCCTAGAGGTGCTGTCCCGTCTGCCTGCTCAGCGTTGGCACGTAGTGAATGGAAACGCCTCAAACTGGGGAAACTGAATTTGTTTGACTCTGCTGGGGTGGGATTGGGCAGTGGATGTGGTGATGGGGGATCCACTGTCCCACACTCATCAGGCCCAGGCACAAGAGTGGCTTCATATGACAGGCCCCTGTGACTCCCTGCTGGCTAAGGGCATACATGTCATCTGCATCTCCCAGGACAGCTTGGCTCCAATGTGGGACTTGATGGGCAAAGAGCATTCTTCAACCATGGCAGATAAGAATTGGTGGCAAGAACCTGTTTCCTTGACCTCAGGTGGGAGGACTCAGGTGTGTCCTACATGGTGCCCCTGGGGGCTTCAGCAAAACTGAGCGCTTCTGCCTGCATTTGCATATTGTTATACTCATGTGTGTCCCCCGCTCCCCGCCATGTGACTGTATTTGGAGACTGGGCCTTCTGGAGGTCACTCCAATTCAATGAGGTCACAGAGTGGGGCTCTAATTCAACAGTGCTGGGGTCCTTGTAAGAAGAAGAAAGATAGAGTGTATGTACAAAGGAAAGGCTGTGTGAGGACACAGACAGAAGGTGGCTGTCTGCAAGCCAAGGAGAGAGGCCTCAGGAGAAACCAAGTGTGCCAGCACCTTGACTGTGACTTCTAGCCTCCACAACTGTGAGAAAATAAATTTCCGTGGTGCCACTCGGTGGCATTTTGTCATGGCAGCCCCAGCAGACCAATATACTCATGAACAGCCCTGTTCTCTGCCCCGTCTCACCGCCCCGCTCCCTCACCAGTGCTTCCCAGGAGCATCTCCCAAATACATGGCTTGCACTGGAATTCTCATTTCAGGATCTGCAGTGGGATCATCCAGTCCATCGCTGCCTTATCGAGTGTCCTAGCCGCTGGGGGCAGGGCAGAGAAGACTTTGGAGGACACTGGACTCCAGTCATCCATGCAATACTCCTGAGCCAGGGGGGTCCTTCCCAAACTGGGGTTGTGATTAACCTCCCCTGTGCATGGCCAGGGCAGGGGGATGAATGGATTCCAAAGTGACCCCAGCAAGGTGGCAGGATCATTGTTCAGCTGACTGTGGTGTGGATACCCCACCGGGGGGGAAGCACAGGTGGTGCAGACGGGGTTCTAAGGACTCAAGAGTGCAGCTTTCAGACTTACACTGTATGGTTTTGAATCTCAGCGTTACCGCTTTGTAACGGTAACTGACTTTGGGTAAGTCACTTCCCCTCTGTGAGCCTCATTTTCTTTCGCAGATGGAGATGATATTGACATTTCCTCTGACTGTGCTGGAAGGGAATATGAGAAAAATACTCAGAACAGTGATGACAAGTCAGCAGGCAAGTGGTCAAGTTCACTGCTTTGGAAGGTGATTGAAGAGGGGCAGGGCAATTTTGTAATTGGGGAGAAATAGTTGATAGTCACATTCTTCTGGGCCATACCACACACAGCATCCTCTGCTAGACAGACACCCTCCCTCAGAATTCAGGGAGGTTCACCTCTACCCCAAAGAGGCTGGCTAATCTGATACATTAAAATGAAATTTTCTGTGTGGATAAGATGGGGAACTGCTTGCTCAGGGAACAGCTGACAGAGAGAAGCTCCCCAATGTCCTGTTGGAGGCACATAACAGGGCTGGCGGGCAGATGAGAACTGGCTTTCCCCAGAGCCCATCCTCAGAGGTTAGGCAGGTGTGGCTGAGTGAAGAGCTGACACCAAGGTGAGGAGGAGGGTCTATGCAACTAGTTTAGATAACTAGGTGAAGAAGCCCACCTGCCATTAACTCTAGAACTCACTCACTCTGCATGGCAGTCCTAAAAAGAAGTGAGTCAAAGAGGTATAGACCCAAAGGATTTGTGGAAGAACTCAAATGAATCCTTGTAAAAGTAGGCTCACAGCAGCTCTATTCATAATTGTCGAAAGGGAAAAACCACCCAGATATCCATCCATGGCAATGTATATACCAATTGTACTATATCCAAATGATGGAATATTATTCAGCCATAAAAAGAATGAAGCTGAGTACCTGTGAAGGTTTGGGGGGATAGACCTCCACAACAGGCTGCATGAGATAATCAAGAATCACAAGGACACATATTGCATGCTTCCATTTCCACGCAATAACCAGCACGGTCAAGTCCAGAGATAGAAAGCGGATCTCTGTTTGCTAGGGGCTGGCGAGGGAGGATGGGGAAGCTTGACAGAAATGTTTTAGAATTAGTTAGAGGTGGTAGTTGTATAACATGATGACTGTACTGAATGCCACTGAATTATTTACTTTCCAGTTCAGTTTTATATTATATCGAGTTCATCTCAGAATAAAAGACACAAAATGCTGAGGGACAACGGGGTGAATGAGCCCTTAGGACTCTGTCTGGTGCTCTTATCTGCTTATAAGCTCTCAGGGGCCAAGTTATACCAGTTCGTGTGCCCTGGAAGACTGGGTTCTTAGCGAGTTGCAGGGAGGATGGCATTGGCCACCTTGGGGTGTGCTTTTGAATATCTTGAGTCTCACCTCAGGATGAGGTGAGGTCAGACTTATGTCGATGGGGAGACAAGAAAGGTGCCAGATCTGGCTCTTAAACTAGATGCGAAACCCCAAAGGAGGTGGCGGTGGTGCCCTGAGCTTAAAGGAGATGAAGGAGGCTGCCGAGGTCACTAACCATCCCCCTCCATGCCCCCAAAAAACTGGAGGGTGCTGAGGAAGCTTTGACAAACTACAAAGATACTCGATGGAGAGACACAAGTTGGCCAGAGATGCCCCTGAATGGCCTGGGAGAGCTAGTGTGGGCCGCTTGTGACAAGACATGCACTCTGATAGCGAACTTGGACACAGATGGCTGGACAGGACCTTGCTGGTCCTGCCAGACATGAGGCCTGTCCCTCCTTGAGTCCTCAGGTTATGCCTCACTCTGAATCCACCGGAGTAAGACTCAGTCTCTGCAGCGTTTTGTGCCTCTTTCGCCCTCATATTCCTCCCTCTGCTCTCCTTGACAAGATATCCCTAGAACCAAAGTTACTTGGAAATGAGGTCATGGGTTTATTGCTCATTTTTGAGAGGCCCCAGAGAAAAGGAGAAATCTGGAAAATTTGGAGATGCACAAGGGCCTTGCTCTTTTCCAAATGGGTATAGAAAGGATGGACAGATATGCAGGAGAATTTGGGAACAGATTATGCAACGGGTGCTTGGGGACGCTTGAAAAGAAGGGAGCGATTTCTAGGGATGCTTGTGTTCCTTTAGAGACTGTCAGGCCAGGCCCCATCCCCTTTCCTGTTTGTGATCTGGTGATCCCAGGAAAGTCATAGATCTGGCAACAGCAGCAGTTGGACTGCGTACTCTGAGCCATGCCATAGCCCCTGGCTTGCCTTGTCTCTTAACTGTTCATCTTCAGGCCTGTTTCTCTGGCAGAATATTAGCTCTGGCAGGGTGAGGCATGTCTGGGACCTCCCTGGGGCCTTTGGGGTTCCTGCAGTGGTCTCAGGCCACATTGGATGTGTGCGATAGGTTTGTTGAATTGGGTTTGGATTTTCTGAGGACCGAGGCTGGGGATCTCGGGAAGAGATGTTCCCTATAGATGATAGTAAATTTGGGACCTGAAATGGTCCCTTACAGTGGCTGTGGGCGGCTCTTATTGCTTCTCTGAATTTTAATGTCCATATCTGAGCAATAAAGGTGATAAAATAAAATACACACAAGGGTGAAAATATATTTTGAGCCCAAGTGCCAGGCACTGTGCTAAGCACCTCTCCTGCCTTTCCTAATTCAACCCACATAACCTCACGAAGCAGATTTTATTGTTATTTGTACTTTATGGAACAGGACAATCTCAGGAAGGATGTATAGCTTGGCCAAGGTCACTTGGCAAGGGGCAGAGAGAGACAGAGTTAAAATTTAAACCTAGGACAGGTTGGCGACAGAGGCCATGGGAAGAACCCAGCTGGGTGGTTCTTAAGCTTGAATGTGCACCAGAATCTCCTGGAGGGCTCGTGAAAACACACATCTTTGGCCCCCACCCCAGAGTTTTTGATGCAGTAGCTCTGGGGTAAGGCCTGAGAATGTACATTTCCAACAAGTCCCTAAGGTACATTGATGCTGCTGGTCTGGACCAGTTCTAGAACCATTGCTCCAGGACCACTTTCAAGCAAGAGTGCTCTAGAAAACAGCGGGTACCAAGAAGGGCAATTAAAACAATAAAAGACGAAATCGATAAAACTTGTTAGGCCAAGGGATGTGAGGCAGATACATGGACGGGAAGTCACAGACTCTCCCACCACCCCCTGCCTACCTTGCAGGGTGCATGAGAGGCAGACACGGGCTGCACGGGTTAAGCGCCTGGTACTCCAAGACGCATCGTTTCTGTCTTCTTGAGGGGGGTGGGGTGGGAGGGTGAGGGATCCAGGTTTCTGCTCCTGGGGTTCGAGGGCTGCGTGCAGCTCTGCTCTCCAGCGCTCGGCGCGGGGCTGCAGGGTCCGGCTCAGCAAGCGTTGCCATGGCAACGCCGGGCTGGGCGGCAGGAGGCTCTGCGCGCTGCCCTGCCAGCCTCTTTGTGTCGCCGGGGCAGCGGTGAGCTCTCCTGACTCCCGGCTGCACCCCGCCTCCCCGATCCCACTCCTGGGAGGCGGTAGGGGGTAGGGAGTAGGGTTGCAGGGGCGCGAGGTGGCGGGAGGAGGGCCCAGGCTAGGGACGGGGGTGGGGCGGCTCCGCCAGCCAGCCGCTCCCGCATTAAAATTTCATGGGCGCTGCAGCAGCTACAAAGACGACGCCGGCAGCGCTCGGGGGATCAGAGGGAGGGAGGCTGCGGACGAGTGCGGGGAGGAGTTTGTGATGGGAGGCGCTTGCAGGGGCTCCCCCAGTTTTGCACTGTGAGCCCGGGCACAAAGAGCCCTCTGCACTCGCACCCGCAGGACCGCGGACCCCAGGTAAGAGCAGCCCCCTCCGAGCAGCCGAAGCATCCTTGGCCCCGCGCCGGGAGCAGTCTCATTCCCCGAGGTTGGAGTCGAGGGTACCTCCTAGTGTCCCAGACAGGGTCTAGGGGGTGACAAATGCTGCCCCAAGCACCCCGCGTTTGTTGGATGAAGCGCCTCTGAAGCCGGCAGCTGTCAAAGGCAGCCTAGACCAGGGCCTGGGTGGGGCACTAGGCAGGGAGAAGAGGGTGTGTTGGGAGGCCAGTGCGGATGGGGGTCTTGCCATCGTGATCTGAGGGGGAACAAAGACCCTCCCCTCCCCCCACACCAGGCAGACCTGAGGGGACCCGGTCCTTCTCGGACCACCAGGTTGGCAGATAACTGGCTAAGCTTTGGACAGAGCCCAAACAGTCTCTGAACTAGGGGAAGAGGGGTGGAGGGTGGGTCCTTGGGTCCCTCTTCCTGAGCCCATTCCTCCATGTCTGCACGCAAATTCCAGATGTCCAGCGGCCTGTGTGGCTCCAAAGGGATGGAGAAGGCTGGAAAGCCACCTTCGCTGAGAACATGACATTAGTAACGATAATAACAACACATCCACCTTGGAGCGCTCACCCGATGCTTGGTGCTTTGCAGGCATTATCCCAACAGTCCCAAGAGGTGGTAAGAACTCCATTTTAAAGATGAGGAAATTGAGATCCAGAGGGATAACTACATGTCCAAGGTCACACAGTCAGTGATTTGGAATCTAGATATGTCGGACTCTAAAGCCTATGCACCATCCCCAAAGGGGTCTGGGGAGAGCCCAGAAGCCATCCCCTTCCCATCTTTTCTCTCTGATTAACACTTGAGGGTCTGAGAATTTGTTAAGGAGAGGGCAGACCTCTCCTTTTTCCCAGGGGAGGGACCTAGGATAGAAAAATTTCTTCTCTGATGGACTGTGCAGGGGAGGCCCCAGGGCCTCCAGGATTCCCCACTCTCCTCCCAGGCTCCACCAGTGGCTCCGTGAGCCAGGAATGCCGGTGAGCACACCCCACTGCAGTGCCATGGTGGAGGGAACGCCCCCCACCTGCTGCTGGGGGAGGGAGCCATTAGTGTGGGATGGGGTGGATTGTGAGGGGTGGTGGTGGTAGGAAGGACAGGGAGGTAGCGTGAGGGCAGGGGCTTTGTTTTCTCAAACTGATGGGGTGGGGGCCGGCCAGAGCACAGGGCTGGTACTGGACACGGGGTGCTTTGCTTTCCAAAGTGCATTCCCATTTGGGAGCCTCCAGGGATCTTCTAGATGGAGGGCAAGGAGAGGTGTAGGGTAGGGATGAGTAATTCCATTTGACGGATAGGGAAACCTGAGGACATGATTCTTAGACTTTAGGGGCGTTTCTTCAAATACCACAAATGTCTGTGCCACGTGGCCAGGGGATGAGTCAGCAGGGCTGGGGTGGGGCTGGGTCTCTGGATGTTTACTTAGAACCCCTCCTCCCTCTCTCCCAGCAGGTGGTCAGACCGGTTGGTTATGGAAATGATGCCCCTAACTTTCCCCTCCTGGCAATCTACTTGCCCTCCAACCTCCCCCCAAACCCCCCAGCCTTGTAGCAGTCTGGGTAAAAGGGTTTCCTGTGGGCCACTTTGCCAGTGCCTAGCTTTGGGTGGCATCAAATTCATTCCACACTGAGTCTAGTTAATTTCCTGGTGAAAGAATTTTACTGGTAAAGTCTCCTATGCCCCCTCATGCCCTCATTTTATTGTTTAATGACCCTTGCCATTGAGAAACATTCTGAAATCTACCTTCCATCTTTCTTGCTGCATGTTTAGCCTCTCTCTCCACTCCTTAACCGAGGGAGAATGCTGAAGTTTTCAGAGTCCCCCAAGGGACTTATAAAGTCTCACCGTGAGCTTTCAGAAGAACCATTTTCTATGTGTGCATTAAAAAAGAAAATTTTGGAGATGTCTTTTGTTTTTGTTTTTTTTTTACAAATTTAGTAAGTTAAATAAATGCATGATACTTGCAGGAGATTTGGAAAAGACAAAAATGGAACAAAGAGAATAGACTCCGTGGTTTCATCCCCTAAGAATAGCTGCTGCGTTTATCATTTTCATGCATTTCCTTCTGCTGTCTTTTCTATTTCTGAAAATAACAATCGATATTGTACAGTATATATTTTCTATGTACAATTTTATCTACCAGCTACTGCTTGTAAAAAGTCACATCAGATGTGTTCCTCCCTGTTCCCCTGTCCATGCTAAGAGGTTTGGTGTTTCATGGAGTAGATGAACTGGCTTCCCTCAGGCCCCTAGGGCTGGATCTTCCAGCTGTTGTATTTTTTTAATACCTTCTTCACCCCATTTTAAAGGCCCTTTTCCAAGATCTGACCCATGCTTCTATCAGGGTAGGAGTCCGAATTTCCCCATTGAGGTTGTGTGATGTGGTAGAAAGACAAGAGGAGAGTTACACAGATGTGTGTTTGTGAATCCTGTCAGCACCTACTCTCTGTGTGAACTTCAGAAAGGAAGTCGCTTCCTTTTGCTGAGCGTTAGTCTCGTTATCATAAAGTGGGAACCCTAATTCCTGCTGTCATGAGGCAGCATGTGCAATGTGCCTAGCACCCAGTAGGTTCTTAATAAAGATATTAATACAGTGTCCCCACTGGCTGTGTTCCCTGACATGGCCCCTGAATCTTGCATCGATACTCAGCTTTTTGCTTTTATTTGTACTGGGGCTGTTGCTTCCTCTCTTGGTGATCCTCAGGCTGTTTAGGCAGTGGTGTTTCTGGGGCACTGGGTCCATTGTGCAGGCTCAATGGGCTGATGAATAACTTATAGGCGAGCCTTTTGTTCCAAGGTATTCTTCCCCTTGTCTCTGTGGCCTGGCTCATCTGTCAGCTAGAGCTCTGGGGAACAATAGCCAGAGATACTCGGGGCAGAGGGAAAGGCTGACTGAGGGTGACAGCTGTCTTTCCATCCCTCCCCAGGGTGATCCAATCAGATGAAGCAGGTGTTCCCTTCTCCCTGTGGTGCCAGGTGGGCCCCTCTGAAAGCTACTGGATGACTCATGGAGGGAGGGGCTGAACTATTGTGTCTTCAATGGTGTGGAGTAGATGATTAATGGTAGTGAACTTCAGCTATCGGTTTGCAACCATTGGCCAGGTGCTGCCTCAGGGAGACCCCATGAAAAGGCTGGGGATTGGGCATTGCACACGAGAGAAACTGAGATTCAGAGAGGTGAAGTGACTGACTCAGGGTCACACAGCATGTTAGTTGTTGAGTCAGGATTTGAACCTGAATCCAGTTTGTTTGTAATGAACTATCACACTTGCCAGCTCCCCTTCTAAAAGTGAACTTAACCAGTTGGAAGTCATGGAAGCCACTGGAATAAATCTGTCGGAGGCAGGTTGATATTACCGCCTCGTTTTCTCACAAATACTTATGGTGGGTGTTTGCAGTTTATACATATCTTCTTCAAGATCTTTTCTCATTTAATGCCCACCCCCACATCTGAACATAAGTCTTTTGCTCTTTTGGGGTTTAACAGGCCTGGTTAGGGTACAGTAGCATCATTTTCTAGCTGGGTGATCTCGCAGCAAGATCTGAGCAAGATTTATTCTGAATCTTAGTTTTCTCATCTGTGAAATAGGTATAAGAAGAATCTTGTTATTTTATCAGGTAGGTAAAAGTGCCCACAATTATTCTTGTGCTCAGTAAGTGTCATCTTGTTTTCCTTTTCTCTTCCACAATTCAGGGTGTCTCTGTTTGAGGGAGATTAGAATTTCGGTCTTCTCTGTGTATGTCATGCTTGAATTCATTAAAAAAAAAAATGGTGCCCCCCCCCACCCCCGCCGGCCCCCGTGGCTCAGTGGGTTGAACGCCATGCTGTGAAGCTATCCGCAGCCTCTGCAGCATGGGTTCGATTCCTGGCCGGCCAGGGAGAAACCCACATGGTGTGGCAGACCTCTCCTGTCTCGCCTGCTGCTCCCCTCAGCAGTGTCTGCCTATTCTGCTCCCTGCTCTGTCTCTGGTGAATTCTCTCACCCTCCTGTGCCTCTGACCTGTACCCCAGTTATTATATAAATAAATAAAATGTTAAAATAAAGAAACACAATTGATTTTTAAAAAAAATGGTGCTTTTTGCTCCTTGGAGAAGTTTCTCTCTCCCTTGGCCTGTCTATGTGGAGGCCCATGCACCTTCTTATGCCCAGGAGCTTCTGCTATTTCTTGGCACTCATTAGTCCAAAGCAATTTAGGCCAGCTTGTCTTGATGCCTCAGCTCTCTCTGTGCAGCTATTTTATTCCAGAGTCATGGAAAAAAAACCCAAACCCAGGGGAATCCTGAAATGCAACCAAAAGCATGATTCCCTAGCAGCTGTTTGCCCTTTTACAGAAACTGCACACCGAGTTCAGGGGAAAGTGGATAGTTCACGGGGTGGTGTTGATGGGGAGTGTGGACAGTGATAATAATGATGTAAAGAAACAGCAGACTGCACATACATAGATGATCTTCGCCATCCTGCTTAATCCTCGCAACAGCCCCATTCTGTGGATAAAAAGGCAAATGATAAAAGCTGCTCAAGGTGGCAGAGCAGGGTGGGAATCCATGCTGAAAAGTCCACGTCCACTGCATTAGGATTATTGGCACTGGCCCAACCAAGCTACCTCCCGATTTCCTGTTTTCCTTCTGATCTGCCTCCAATAAGATCAGGTTTGGCAAATGCTATGATTTGAGAACAGAACCCTGGCATCTATTCTCCAACGTGCCTGTGGGCACATATTAATTCTCCCACCCTTTTTCTTTCTCTCTTTGTGATAGCTGGAGGCATTTCCCTGTTTACCCCTGTGGTTCCAGACACCTTCACATGGCCGCCACGACCCTAATCATCAACGGAGTAATCAAGGTGACCTTTCTTCTTCTCAGTGCACCCCTGGGGGTAGGGGAGACCAGCTTCATGCCATGTGGTCAGGTCCACCATAAAGTCCATATGTGTGATGACCTCCAGAATCTCAGCAGTAGGAGGGAACTCTGAGGATCCTCTGGGGTTTAGTTCCTCCATCAGAGCTTCCCTGGAGGTCCCTGATCTTGGCCTGAAGGGGGCTGTCCTTGCAGGCTGGTGGCACTTGAGATGCGGGACCCAGGGGTCCACCTGCCGTGAGGGCTCTGTGTCGTCTTTGATCCTTGGTTCTTGTCCTCTGTCATCACATCTCAGTGAGTTTGAAAACGTAACTTTATTGAGGCATAATTTACATGCAGTAAAATGCAGCCATTTCAAGCATGCATTTCATGGTGTTTTGAAAAATATATACACCTACATAGCACCACTACAGTCACAATGTACAACATTATTATCACCCTAAAATGTTTCCCTGTCAATCCCCTTCCAGCCCCAGCCCCAGGAAATCACTGATTTGCTCTCGATGCCTATGGTTTAGATGTGCTTTTTTCTAAAGTTCTATTAATATGAGATCTTTTGTGTTTGACCTCTTTTGCTCAACCTACATATTTCACAGGTATAGTGAAATAGAGGTCTTTTTGGCCCAGCTTTACTGAGGCACAGTTTAAATATCATACAGATTCACTCATTTCAAGCTCCCCATTCAAGGATGTTTAACAAATTTATCACGTTGTGTGCCCTTACCATGAATCCCATGAGTCAGACTTTGGACAGGTGGGCTGGGAAGCTGTAGTCACTGTGATCAACATGTGTTTAGTAGATTGCCATCTCCCCATGTGACCCCTCACACCAAGGGCTGTGAACCCCGCCCCCTCCTGGCCCCAGAAAACCACAACTCACTTTCCGGGTCTAGGGTTTGGCCTTTTCTGGGTATTTCATGTAAATGGACTCATACAGCCTGGCTTCTTTCACCTGGAATCCATGTCATAGACATCGATAGTTTCCTTTTATTTCTGAGTAGACTCTGTCATGTGAAAGCACTACAGTTGCTTATTCATTCACCAAGATGGTATATTAATTTGATATTTGTTTCTTAATCCTCTTATCCTCCCCACGCCTCAGCCCCCCACCCCGATCCCCCGGAGGGGGAGGGAAGTCTATAGTGAGTTCCACAGGTTTGAAATGCCCCAGATTTCCAGGACATTAGTGTTACACAAAGATTTACTCAAAGTTTAAATTATTTAAATTTTAGGAACACTTGTGTGATCCAGGCACCGACTAAGCTTTGGAAAAAAAATTAACTTGGAGTCAGACTTTGGACAGGTGGGCTGGGAAGCTGTAGTCACTGTGATCAACATGTGTTTGACCGCAAAGCCCCTGTCTGCCTTTCTTCTTGTTTTTCAAAGATTTATTTATGCATACAAGAGCTGGGGTACAGGCCAGAGATGTAGGGGGTGAGAGGATCCACCAGAGACAGAGTGGGGAACAGAACAGGCAGACAGACTGAAAGCACTGCTGAGAGGAGCAGGGGCGAGACAGGAGAGATCTGCTGTGCCATGTGGGTAGCTCCCTGGCAAGGGATTGAACTCGTGCTGCAGAGGCTGCGGACAGCTTCCCAGTGCCATGCTGAACAACTTGCGCCACCAGGGAGACCCCCCTGCTTGCCTTTCTCCCTCCTATCAGCTTGACCCAGGAACGAAAGTTTCCCTGGAGGCCCCCATTGCCTTATTGATGTCAGGGAGTCTGGCCCACAGGTTAAGGGAAGGGTCTTTGTGATCAAGTGTACTTCTCTGAGCAGCCCAGGGTCTGTCTTCAGAGCTCAGCGAGTTCCTGGGACAGAAGAGAGAGGACACTGCCAGCTTCCACAGGACGTTCCCTGCCACATGGGAAGCAGCCTTGCAGATAAGTATTGAAACTGGCCTGCCCACGGCCGCCCAGCCTGTCCTCCCTTGCTCTGGGCAGGAGAGCAGAGGAGCCCAGTTTCCCTAAGTTGGGGGCGTGGAATTGGGGATACGATTCTACTTTTCTCTATGCCACAAGGAGAAACCTTGTCCCCCCTTTATGGGGCCCCGGGAAGGGTAATTTTCACACCCCACTTTTGGCACCAAGACTAGTATTTTATAAGGTCCACCATCAGGAACTGCTGATGAGTTTACTTTGTCTTGAATACTTGTGGATCTGGCATGGGGACCCTGGGGTTCCCGGTGGTCCAGGATGACCCTTCTCTTCTCGGTGCTGGCTTGCTGTCATCCTATTCACAAAAGCTGGCCTGGCAGGCAAGCGGGGACCTCAGCCCTGTGCTTGTGGGACACATTCTCCTCAGTTCGAGGGCTGCTACATCTCCAGCTTTGGCATCTCCCTGCCCATAGCAAGTCCCAGGTACCAACAGCAAGCTCTGAAAATAGGCTGTGAGGGTCCCCGCGTATCCTGGCCTTCAAAGGGTCCCTGCCCGCAGTTTGGTTCCCCAAACTTTGGCGCCTGAGGCCATTAGGAAGAGGTATGGGATAATGAGGTAGGGGGAAAACAACCCAGGCTGGGCTGAGTGCCCCTCCAACCTCCCATCCATGGTCTCAAACTGGGGTTACTGCTGTGCACCCTGGGTGAGTTTCATGGCTGAAAGGTCTCCTGGCCCAGAGATTAGACTCCCCAGGGTGACAGTGTGACAGAGCTGGGTGCGCAGCTCCAGTGCCTGCCTCTGCTCAATGCTCTCATTTGCTGTTGTCAAGCTCAGTTTGCTTTGCTTTCTCTTGGGTTACTTTCTATTGCTGGGGAGCAGGGAGGTGGGTGAAGGGAGTCCCCGCTGCCCCTACAAGGACATTCTGGGGAGGATATTCTGGGGAGGACATTCTGGGGAGGAGAAGGGAGGTGTTGGTGTGCCCTGGCCCAGCCTCCCTGGCTCCTGGGCCTGCTTGTTATCAGAGAGCTCTGGCCAGGTCTAGGGCCTGGGAGAGGCCTGGGTGCAGTTTGCTCCTGAGGCCTGGCTGGCTCTTGTCTTCCAGGATGGGCCTGTGGGATCCACATGGGGAAGGAGCCAGGAGCTGAGCCTGGGCTGCAAGATGTTGGCTGGATGCTACCAGGTAAGCCTGGGTGGGCATGGGGGAGGGAGACCACGTCTTGCTTAGTTTTGGGGGTGGGGAGATTGTTCCTCTTATCCAAGACTCCTCCCGAACCCCAGATGTCTAAGAAGGCCTTGGAGTCAGGTGTCCGGAAAGCTGGCTCTATGTGGCCTTGGAGGACTGAATCAAGACCACCGTGGGTGGGCACATGGCGCAGTTCTCAGTACGTTCTGTTCTTCCATTCAACACAAACAGGGAGGAGCCCCTTCTCCAGCTAGATGCTGGCAATCCAGAGGGGGATACCGGAGACACGGTCCCGCCCTCTCAGGTCTTCATGTAAGAGCCTGCGCTATCACTGCCTCAGTGCGAGGGCTGGAGCCAGCTTCACCCCAAGGCTTGAGGGCTGACCCAACCCCATCTCATGCTCTTGTTCCTTGTCACCCAGATCCTTGAATCTGTCTGGGCCATGCTGAGAGAATGAGCTCCCCGTCCTGAGAGGTGTGTGTGTGTTCGTGTGTGTGTGCAGCTGTGTGTGTGTGTGCATGTGTGTGTAGGGGGAGGGCAGAGCTGCAGTTCCCTCATCTGGAAATTGGTAAAGGAAATCAAGTCCCTGAGGACACCGAAGGCCCTTCTTTTCCACCGTAAGCCCAGCCCCTTCTCCACCCTTGGTGCCCTTGGCGCTGGCTCTGCGCTCCCTTTGCTCCTGTCCTTGGGTCCCCTGTCCTCGCCCTGCCAAGGTGGGGCACCCACACCTTGCATTGCTTCCTTTCTACTCCTAAGTTTCTTCTAAAAGTTATTAATGTTCAAAGTTCTTAGGTGTTGGGGCCACAGGAGGGAGGCTGGGGGTGACTCTGAAGGTGTCTCTGATCTGGGGTTGTGCTGGCCAGCAGGCGGGCGCTGGGGATGGAGCTGCGTCCTCATGCTAACTGCTGTGCCTCCTGCAGGGGCTGGGCCTGCCGCGGCTCCAGGACTCCTGGCTGGTCTCCTCTGACAACTCTGGATTCTGGCCACGGCGGCACACGGAGCAGCCTTCAGCGGTTTTCTGGAACCCTGGACAATTCCTCGAAGATCTCATCCTTCCCAACTCTGGGATGGAGCCGCCTGTGGATAAGAGCCTCCTCTGGTAGGCGCTCGGCCAAGATAGGACCTGGTTCTGGAGGACAGCTGAGGGTGTGGGGGAGCCTGGCATCCCCTGGACCCTGCCTGTCAGGCCTTCCGGTCTCGGCCTGGTGGCCCCTCCTGGCCCTGTGCGGACTGGATTCCTTCTCGCCTCCCAGCCAGTGACCACACAGCCTGGGCCAAGGCCACACGGACTGCTCTTCCTCAAGGACGGGCCCCAGAGGCTCTGACAGGACAGGAGCAAGAACACTGGTTGCGAGTGGGAGGATCCTCCCGGGAGGGAGGGCGGACGAAGCTCCGGGGTGGGCTGGCTGCAGTGTCTTGTGCTGTTTGCCCTGTGAGTGATCTCATTTCTGTGGGTGCCTTTTGGATGGGGCTTTTCTGTGCTTCGCCTCTTCCTGATGGTCCCTGGGAGGAGGCAGTGAGGGTCTGAGAGGTGCCTGGGTGTCCCCCCGTGGTGTGGAAGGAGGAGCAAGGGGTGTGTGGTCCTAAAAGGGCAGAATTTGCAAGAGGTGAGGAGACCCAGGCCAGGGTATCTTGCCAGGAGCCAGGCATGGAGACTTCTTGGTCACCCAAAGAGAATGGGCTGCAGCCAGCTTTACCCCAAGGCTTGAGGGGTGACCCAACCCCATCTCACACTCTTGCTCCTTGTCACCCAGATCCTTGATTCTGTCTGGGGGCGGCAAAGCAGGCCCGCCCCACTCTCAGGCACCTTCTCCCTAGATGGCTGACATCACTTACACACCCACCGCTCCGTTCCCCAAAGTTCCAGCCCTGCCAGGCGAGAGTTTGCCTGCGAGGCCATGGTCTTCCTTGGGCAAGTTTAAGAATCCAACATCCCATTCCCAGCATGATGACGGAGTCTGTATTAGTCAACACAGCTGCCACAGCAGAAAACCACAGCCAGGACACTTAAATAGTAGAGGTGAATTTTCTCACAGTAGTGGAGGCCGGAAGCCCAAGATCAAGGCAGAGGGTGGGGTCCTCCTGAGGCCTCACGCCTGGCCTGCAGGTTTGCAGAGTACCTTTTTGATAGGTCCTCACGTGGCCTATGTGCATTTTGGGGGGCAGGAGAGAGAGAGAGACAGAGAGAGAGAGACAGATAGACAGACAGACTGACTGACTTAGAATTGCTTCCTCTTATAAGGACACCGCTCATATCTGATGAGGGTGTCAGTGACCTTGATTACCTCCTTAAACGTGCTGTCTCTAAATGCAGTCATATGGGGGTTATGGCTTCATCCTGTGGATTTGGGGTGGGATGACATTCAGCCAGTGAGAGGAGTGAGCACGGAAAGGGAAAGCACGGTGCCCTCACCCTTCAGGATTTCCACCCCACAACGAGGGGAAGGGGGAGCAGAGATAGAAGAAGCAGAAATAGAGTGGGGAGTGCTGGGTCAGGGTGGCCTGCGAGATTTGGGGACCCAGGGACTGGCTGGACACAGCGAGTGAGGAGGACCCCTCAGGAGAGGGGTGTCCCTGGGAAAACTGGACTTTGGAGCCTCAGGGCACACAGGCACCTCACCTCTAGGACCCAATTTCCATGCTGAAAGGGGATCCCTGTGCATGGGGTGGGGGGGTGGCACAGGTGGTACTGTTTCTGGCACAGTACCTGTCCCTTGGTAGGTACTCCATAAATGTGCCCCTGCCTCGGGAGTTTAGAGTTAGGGCTAATCCATTTCAGCGCTCTGGACTGTAAACCCAGGATCTTTGATCCAGGGGTGCTCCTGACTAGATGCCCATTTTCCTAGTGTCCCTTTCTAATCAGCTTGGGGGAGTGGTATCCATAGTTACTCAAAAGGCTTCCTGGAGTATGTCAACCCCACTTCTCTCCTTGTACATGTGCTCTGGGCCCTTCCCTGGGCCATGCTTCAGACCTTCAGGATTTCACAACCAGGCCGAGGGGAGAAAACCTGCTCGTGTGGAGAACTAGAGAATGGACCTAAAACACGCTGTTGAGGCACAGTGCTCAGGGAGGGAATAAGGCCCCAGAGGAGGCTTAGCAGAGGTGGGGGGCGGGGGGTCTGAACCCGGCTGCAGGTGACAGATGAGCTCCATGAAGTTGGGTGTGGGGGAGGGCAGGGCAGGCCAGTGGTTGGAGCAGCCAGGGGCCTGGCAGGTGGAGATGGAGGATAATTCACCTGACCTGGTAGCTTGGCAGGGGTGGGGTCACACCTTTTGTGGGAAGATGCTGGTGTGAGTGTGTGTGTGTGTGTGTGTGAGCGTGTGTTTGAGTGTGACAGGTTCCAGCCTTCTGGGAAGGGACTGACCAGACCAGGCAGGGGGATTCCAGCCAGGGCAAACAGGGGCCATCTTTAGGGGAGCTGAAATGCTTGGGGTAGGGGGACTCTGAGGTCCATAGTGAAGAAATAGGGAAGCAAAATGCTTCCAAGCAAATGCTTCCTCATCCGTGGGGAGAGGATGCCTCCCAGTGGGGGTCGGGGGCTGAGAGGCAGACCCCCTGCCCTGGTCAGGCCCAGCTCCCCTTGGCTGGTGAGGGTGGGAGGCCTCTGGAGCTGCGCCTGGAGGGGCCGGGCAGTGTTGCATGGTGTGATTAACCTACTAACCCAGGGCTTGGCCGGGACGCTGTGGTGTGTGACGAGGTGCCTGGCCTTCTGCCAACTGACTAACCCACTAACCAGGCCCGAGCATGCCCTACTAACCCCCCGCAGCCAGACCCTACTAACCTTGCAGCTCATGGGCCTTTCGAGGGGCTGGGATGTGGGGGGCAGACAAGGCTCCGGAAGGCCTTGCCCGTGGCCTGGGATCTCTGTGCAGAACCACATTCCAGGACAGGGCGTTCCAATAGGACTCACCAACTCTGCCACCCCCTGCTGGAGGACTCACCAATTCTGCCGCCTCTCTCTGAGCCCCACTTTCCGTGGCAGCAGAAGGGGGGTGCTGAGCCTCACCTTACCGATTGCAGTGAGGATGCCCATGAATATAAAAGCCCTGGCACATGGCAAAAAAGGGCAAGGGTGGAGGTCAGAGGCTCAGAGAATCTACTGGCGCCCCCTGTCTCGGCCCTGGTCCCTCTGGGTCTTCTGCACACAGACCCTTCTGCCAGGGGCCAGATGCTCGCTTTGAACCCCTAACCGTCTCTTCCCCACATTCTTCCTCCTCAGCTTTCTTTTAGTAGACAGCTCTTTTGTTCGATTACTAACCTGTCTAACCCAGGGGTGCCTCAACTGCACCCCGACCACCCCTTAACAAACTAACGGACCCGCGTGTGTTCTTCCTTCTCTCCTAGTGACTCCCGTGTGTGCCTGCCGAGGTGCCCCATTCGCTGGTGCTGTGCTCTGACTTACTAACCCAGCCCTACTAACCCTGTTTCTCTTCTTACTAACCCCAGCCCTGCCGAGCTCTGGGCCCCGCTGGGGGCTGGTCCCCCTCCTTTTGGCAAGCAGATATTCTGGGGCTGCCCCTGGAGACAGGTGCCCCCACTTTGCAGCCCTAATTGGCTGTGAGTCCAGCACCCACTGGGCTGAGGCAGGTGATGGCCCTAGTAACCACACCAGCCGCCCCGAGGAGTGGCCGTGTGGGGCTGGCCTCTGAGCAGGCCCTCTCTTCCGTCTGGTTGCCACTGGGAGTGGGCGGGACCAAGGAAAGAGGCATGTGCGGAGGCCTGTGGGTTAGAGTGTAGAGTTCTGGGCTTTTCCCAGCTGAGGGAGCTGAGATGATGCCTGTGTGACCTTCCTTGGAGGGAAGTGAGGGTAGAGTTTCCTACATTGGAAAGCAGCCTGTAGAGGCCAAGGAGTCAGTGGGAGGCGACTCGGCCCGCACGGAAGTCAGTAATTGGCGCCCTCCCTACATTGGAAATCAATGAAAGGATCTTCCCCACACTGGAAATCACTGAGTGGAGCACCTAGTACAGGGTGTCAGCCATTTCCATATTTGAAGTGTGAGAAGAGGCATTTCCTATACCTACACCGGAAGTTAGCGAGCGTGAAGTGAGTGGCCTGTCAAAAGGCAACGAGAAAGAACGTCCAAGACATCGGTGAGATGGGCCTTTCCTACAAGAGGAAGTTGGCTGAAGGGACCCTTCCCATAGCTGAAGCCAGGCGGGCAGAGTTTCCCACCGGGGGAGTACTCCCGGGTGGTTTCATTCCGAGGTCTCTGAGAAGGACTGCCCCACACTAGGCCTTGAGGAGGCAGGAAGAAAGCACGTTTACTCTGGGTTCTGGGTTTGCATGAGGAAGAAGTAAGAAGCAAAAAGTGAACTCCAGGGCCCAAGCAGTTCTGCGATGCCTCAGGTCAGTCAGGAGTTTGTCCCTGGCTCCCTGTCCCCATGCCCCTGCCCCAGCCTGCCTCCCCCAGAGCCCGCCAGCCGCTAAGCCGGGGCCACACCTGGGGGTGACTATGCCTCACCTCCAGTAGGCACCTTGGTCTCTTTGGGCTAATCTCTGGCTCCTTTGCACTAACTCTTGCTCTCACCCAGCTAATCCCTGCCTTGCCCTGGCTGCCCCCGGGGGCTGACCACTAACAGCCAACCCTTCTGGTCTGGGGGCTCCAGGTTCCTGGCCTGGCTCTGACCGGCTCTTGATTAACCTCTCCTTCACCTTGACTAACTGCTGCCCTCCTGGTCTGTTCCTTTCAGCAGAAACTAACGGCTTATGGATTTCTTTCTGACTAACAACAGGTCTAACACTCCACATTACCATTACTATTAACAGCTTGCTTGTCAGCATGGCTGCGATGGGGCTAACAGGTTCGGAACCGGACTAACCCAGGGGCAGGTATAGCAAATAGTGTGGGACGCGATGATGGCTCTGGATCAGAGCCATCTGAAACCAGTCAAGTCCTGTACTCTAAAGGAGGGGGTGCGGCTGGTGTGTGGCCCCTTCCTTGCGGAGAAGTTTCTGTTGTGGCAGGGTCAGAAGCATAGTCAGTCTTCTAAGGGTTTGACCGTTGGATGTATTTCATTAACTCTTCAAAATCCACATTTGTTCTTTGATTCTTTTTCACAACCACCTCTTAGCTGCAATAGTCTAATTGAGTGAGTCCAGCTCTTGCAGACCTCAAAAAGCCTGTCTGGTATGTACAGAGGGTATGCCAGTATGATGGAATTATCAGTCACTGGGCCAGGCCCTAGAGCCCCAGGTTTGGGGATTTTAGGGTATTGGAAACCCTAGGACATTAAGCTTTAGATTGGAATGTGCAAGATGTTGTAAATTCATCACCCATTTACGCTTTAGTGTAAATTAGTTTCTATGCTGACTTTTATGCAATTTAACTGCACTAGGAGATGAAAGTGAGTTTGGATTTCTTCATAGCAGGGGAAGCCTCTTTGAGAGCAGAGAAGGGCAGCCTCAAGGCCAGGGGTTCCTGCATAGAGGTAAGAGGTGACTCCAGGTCAAGGATGTATAAAGAGACATGTTTTGTTGGCTTGGTATGGTATTCAGGGTCTGAAGGACAGGGCAGCTCACAGCAGGGCGTAGAGGATTGGCTTAGCATAGGGTCAGTGCCAGAGGGGTCTGGAGGCCTCACAGGCTTGGACCATTCAGTGCTGGCCTGGGGCTGAGAGCCTCTCTGACGTTCATGGGCTCAGAACTAAGGAAGTGGAGCTGTTAGTGAGGCCTGAGGAGATAGAGGCCTGAGCTGTAAAGCAAACAAGTGCAGAAAGTATCACAAAAGGCTTGGAGGTGCCTTGACTGGGAGGTGGGACCATGGAGGGCATTGAGCCTGCACTGGGGAAGCACCTGCCTGCCGCCCTCTAGCGGCCACCTTGCCCCATGTCACTTGAAGCGGGAAACTCCGACACTTCCATGCCGGAACTGCTTTCTTCAGCTGTAAAGCCCTGATGCTTCTTTGGGTGCTGAACACAGCTGCATGATGGGGCCTACACATGGGCTTTTCTGCCGTAGTGCTTGTTTATTTCTTTGGGGGAATTGGAAAAGTAAACAGGAAATGCAGTGAACTAGGGGTGGTTGGGGCTGTGGGAACACCCCACCATGAAGACATACTCCGTCAGACGCTGTGCTAGGCATGGGAGATGAGTGCTGATAAAATGCTATGCAGTCTTCAGGAATTTTAATGCCAAGGTGCTGGGTGGGTGCCGGTAGAGCAGCCGTGGGCAGGGAGGTAGATTTTTCTGAGAAGGAAGACAGGCAAGATGAGCCTTGTGTGGGCCGTGTGGCGGGGGTGAGCTCCAGGAAGGAGGTATGGTGGACACACAGTCCTGGGGATCAGAGAGATCCAAGAGGTCTGGAAAGTTCATTGGGGCAGTAGCAGAAGACAGAAGATGGATAGCACCAGGTCTAGTTTCCAGGGAGTTTATCTTCAGGACAGTGGGGATCCCTGGATGAGATCTGAGGGAAGATGTTGGGTTTGTGTCTTAAGTTGACAATTTGGCTGCTTCAGCCCAGGTGGAGTTCTGAGGAGCTTGTAATGACTTTTGGTCAAAGTTTACAGAAGTGACTAAGACTTCTTTCAACGAGAAGATCCGTAGGCCCATCTAGAATAAGCAGGACCTATAATGCTTTCCTGGTAAGAGGGGGTACTGCAGTGATGACTTGGAAGAGGGGTGGTCCCGGAAGTGCATCACCTGGAGAAGGCCCGAGGGCGTGTGGTCAGGGCCTGGGTGTTGGAAAGGGAGTCCATGTGTCCTGCGGGGCAGCCAGGGGATCAGGCAAGTGTGGAGCAAGCTTCAGAGAGGCTGGTCCTGGCCCCAGGGAGGAGAAGGTGTGACTTACTGGGGAACAACCTGCTCCTGCAGGCAGAAGGATTGGGACTAAGTCACCTTTGAGGTCAATGATGATGGTGATGAGGTTGATGGTTTTAGAATTGCGTGAATGTGGGTGAGTGTGCATGTGTGTGCTTGATTTCATACCTGGGGAAGCTGATCCCAAGTGGCAGCTATAAACTGTCTGCCCTTCTAGCCCTGCCCTGGGCCCACTGATGTTTGCCTTGTTGTTGAGTCCATGGAACATGAGCCAGGCCACTGACCTCCCACTCTGAAGAGGGGTCTTAACCCTTTCTTTAGCAGCCGCACTGAGGAGTAGTCTCTGCTTCTGTGGAGCCCGCCCGA